AAGAAGATTAGACTATATGTCACAGACTTCTAAAACACCCAGATGCTCTACTGTGGCCTTTAATTTGTTGACTGATCTGTTACAAACCTTAAAGGAAGAACTTATTCATGATGGATTCACTAAAATACATCTACACAAATCTTCCTGTATCTTCTTCCTCTAATAAAACTGTCTCCCCTCTGACAGGGAGAAGATGATCTGGATTTTCTGCTCATCAGCCTGACCTCCTCTGTCTCTGGTTAGTCGGGCTGCAACTGTGATTAACAATTCTCTATGTCTTTAACCTGACACTTATTTTCTTGATTAATTCACTTGAGTCTTTGAAATGTTAGCCTATAAAAAGATGTTAATATCTCCCCTCACGACTTCCCAGAGCCCAAATGACGTCCTTAAACTGCTGGTTTGTTTGAGCAACAGTCCCAAAACCAAAATATATTTAATTCACTTTAAAATATTACCAAGACAAGCAGCAGCTCTGTGTGAGAAGCTGGAAGCAGCAATATTTGGCAGAATAATCCATTTTCTTTCGATCGACTAATCTGTTAATGGACTAATGTTTGCAGAGCCTCTTCTGACGTGTTGAATTTAAAATAATTTTCCATAACAGTCAGTTCTTGATAGAAGTGTTTGTGGCTGAAAGGAGGTTAAAAACTGAGGTCTGACTCCACATATTTCCTGATTTACACCCACAGAACAGTTTCTCTTGAACGTGACCTCTCATGGAGAGAACAGTGACGTGATCCTCACCACACCTGAAGGTGGGTCAGTGAGCTGTTACCATGGTTACTCATGTAGAAATAGTGCATCACAGGCCAACTGTTGCCTCATAAAGTTGATGCACAAATCTGATTAAAGGAAAACGTTGTTTTAGTAGCTACTACTTCAAAATGTGAACATAAACCACTGCACCACCTGGTTACTGTGATAATAACATGTTGACAACACTCAGCATATTTACTGAGATTAATTCACTATAACAAGCAATTTCCAAATCTATGCAAGCTGATTTTAATTCTGTATCAACATGAAGGACAAACAGCCAGTGAGTTGAAATTTGGAGACACGAAGTGAAAAACTGAGGAAGCAGAAACTTGATTTAACATTTCATGAAGCACAAAATGGTGGATAATTCAATATGAACATGCTGCACAATAAATTTCACTTCATCCAAGTAAACTATCGAAGAACACAGTTTGTTTTTAGTCAGACTGTTAAGCAGGATTTTGCTAATGGCAGTGAGGGTGATGGCACAACGGATAAGATACCTTTGGTGTGAGAGAGACCTGGGTTCACTCCCCCACTGTGACCCATCCACCATTGTGTCCTTGAGCAAGACACTCATGTCAGAGGTGTGTGACCTCTGACATGTATAACAATTCTAAGTCGCTTGGATAAAAGCATCAGCTAAATGAATAAATGTAAATAATTCTCTACAGTGCCACCATCTGGCCAAGAGGTGTAACTTCTGTTAGGTGACTGGTTACTGTTAAATCATCTGATTGTTTATTTAGTTTCTCATTGTCTCTAAATTGGTATAAATGTTGTTGATGTGGTGGTCCAACACTGCTGAGTTGATGCTCCTGATATCAGACACAAACACTGGTTTTCTATCTGCATGCAGCTGTAAAACAAACACCAGGAGGGCCGGAGGAGGAAGAAGACACATCATATGACTGGAAGAACGATAAAACTACTCAAGAAGCTGTAGCTGGTGGACTTCTGTTAATTGCTGCTGTAATAGCTCTAGTCGCTGCAGCTGAAAGATGTGTAGCTACACTCATTCGTCGAGTTAAAAGAAAGTAAGTTGCTCTGTTTTAAATTTATCTATTTCCTCTTATGATTTGTCTGAGTCGTTGTTTGCACTTACTTTTGTCTCATGTCTGTCACACAGGTCAAGACCAGTATAGATGTTCCCTCGCTGAGCTCATCAGAAAGATCAAAACCAAGTTACATCCACAACCACAACTGCTCCAGGTGTGAACAGATCCAGACCACAAGTCAGTCTGGTCCAAAGTGTCTGAATGAAGCAACGTGAGGAATATAAAGTTCCTGTCAGTTCTTCTTCATGCAGCGTTTACCAACAGGAACTAACGTGAACAAAGACTCACAGAGTGTGCAGCATGTTTAAGTCTCTGCGTGTTGATTTCACCGCAAACTGAAATAAAATGAAACCAGCAGCAGCCTGGAGGAGAAGACAAACATCCAACATGTGACGTTAGGACTTTGAGTCATGCTGTTTTAATCTGACGTTTATGTGCTGTCAGAAAAGATGTTTTACAATAATTAATAATGGTTACATTTCAGATACATTTTAAGCATCATTCAAGTATTAATTTGCTTTTTGTGTGTATTTTTGTTATTTCTGCTTTTATACAAAAGTATTTCATCCTTCTGCAAAGCACTTTTGACTCTTTGAAGTGGCCCAACAATAACTAAACTGAAACATCAATAATAGACATGAGATGGAAACAATGAATCCAGCATAAACACATTAAACATGCTTCTTTAGAAGCAGACAGAAAGTTTTATTTTTCTGCAAAGCACTTTCTAATCTATGAAGCACTTTCTAACCTGTTTGTAAACATAAAGTTTGACTACTGTTTTCCACTGTGTGAAAATATCCCTTGCTATTTTATGTAATTTGACTGTAAGAGCATGGAGGGACTGTGTTTTACAGATGTGTAACAGACTGTATAAACTTTGTAAGTGTTTTTCTGTAAACAGATGTTTTCAGGGACTTTTTCAATGTATTTTCAACATGACATCTGAATGTTTTCATTGATGTGGTGAATTTGTCTAAACCAGTAGAAGCTCTGTATTTTTATAAAGATATAAATTTCTCAGTTGACTTGATCTAAAATAAAGTCCAGCAGGTAATCAGGCAGCGTCTGTTCTTTGTGTCCTTCAGACTGCAAACAAACACATTGCAGATTCTGCCAAACATCAATAATAGATCAATAATAGATGTTTTAGAGGTCGTTCATGTGAGAAGTGATGAAACTGACCAACGAATGTCTTCTGACGGCTAACAGACGTATTTGATGAAATAAAATCTCCAAATAATGACCTGCTCAAACTGCAGGAGGAGAAGACAAAATTATTATTCAGCTGTTTAGTCAAATCATCAAGTAGAGAAGCGGCCAGTTCACTGAAAAACATCTTCTACGCAAAACTTTACTAAATTTAAAAAAAGCATACATTTATTTTTCTTTAATCAATTTATTAAAGATCAAATTATGGAAAATATTAAATATTTATTGGATATATTGTAAATGAAAACAATGCCATTAAAAGTGTTTAAACTGTGATAGCCAAGCTTTTTAAATCCCAGAATAAGACACAGAAAAGTTTCACTAACAAATGCTTTTACAGCATTTAATGAATGCCTTTGATGCTTGATACATGATCCCCCCGTTTAGGGCTGTCCCCGACTAAGGATTTACATAGTTGAATCAGAATCGTCAAGTCTGCCTTCGACTGATAGTCGAATCGTGTGTTTTTGTGCACGGCGATTGCAAGCTGAAGCTAAACTGAGGCTTATTGTTGACCATTCTCTCTCTCTTTCTCTTGCCTGCCATTCACCGGTCTTGTGCAGAGTTTTTGCCACGCTGCCGACAACTGCACGCCCGTCACGGTTCCTCGCGGGTCTATTTCAAGTAGCTGGCTATTTAAAAATGATACAATATTCTTTGTGTGGTTCATCAACGGTGTTGGGCCTCACAGTCTGATAGAACAAAGACGAGGCCTTCTGATATCCTACAAGCCTGCCAATGCGGCCTGACTACACAAAGGGGGGTCACAGAACAATAGAAAGCCCAGATGGCTCTTGTCAGTTAATTCACACCTACCTGCGAACTCTAACACTTAAAACCAAACCAAAGGTTTGTATTGGCTAAAGCTTTCAGGGGGCGGAGTAATCCCAGGAAGTACAACCATTTTGTCAACAGAGGTATAAAACCGAACACCTCCGAACCCTCATTGCCATTCCAAGTTCCTCAGGGGACTGTAAGGAGGTAAACAAACTCTGCCTTTCTGCAACTGCACCAGCAGTACAGGAGGTATTTTTCTTTCAGCGCTGAACCTTCTTTGTTCTTGAATACAGACTTCACTCGCTGGACAAGCAACTCTGTTTTCTTCTTTCCTCTTTACCTCTAATATTTTTCTTTGTGTTATCAACACAATTTTGGATCCCTAAAGAAACTGTTATAGGCTACACAAGATAACGTTTCGTGCCTGCAGAAGAAGACAGATAAACGCCGTCACGTCTGTGCTCTACCTTCTCAACTTAGTCGAACCTCACTGATTCCTGTTGCTGCCGCCAAAGAATTAGCTGTGCCGTGGAACCTACCGGCATCTTCAGAACCGAGCCGAGAGAAACTCCGCCAGATTTCCCAAAAGGACTGACGCATCTACTCACTATCAAAGCGACACGTAAGAGGCTTTAGTATGTCTGGGCAGCAGATAGTTCTATAACCTTGTTATTCTAACTTATAAGCCTCATGTGATGAATTTCTTTTAAGATACTCCAAGTTATATTGAAAGACCGCCGTCTTTTTTAATTGCTGTGTGTTGCCAGGGGCTGCCAGGAATTTTGGGCCCCATGACAAAAAAATCAAATTGGGCCCCCTCTGCGCAGCTGTTGTTACTAGTCTCTAGGACCTAACTATCCCATCAAAAGCTTTACATAACTCTAATTAAAGGCTTGCAACTGTATTGCTTCTTGTAGTTCAATACTAGTACTAGCACAATATTTACTGCTGGTGATTTGTACAAGTCGGAATACAGTACAGGGCTCGACAATAACAGTGGCCCGATGGCCCGGGGCCAGTAAAAAGTAACATCGGGACAGCTGAACTTGCACGATTGGGCCAGTGTAAAAACACTGGTATTAAAAATAAAGTTATAAACTCAACATCAGGCAGTTTTGCAGCTCATGGCGTGCACCAATCCAGAGTTGTAGTTACGTGACGAGTTGTTGTCAAATGTTATTTCTCTAATCTCAATCAAGCGGAATCTCTGGGTCTGAAAGTGAAAACTTACAGATGGAACTTAAACCTGCATTCATAATAATGGCCAGCAGGGGGCGAGTCCGCTGGTTGCAAAAAGAAGCCCGGTTCCATTAGAAATAATGGTAAAATGTTGCTACTTCTCAGCAGATTTATTACCTTAGTAAACACTTTCCTAATGAGTTTATGGTCTCAGTCGCTAGTTTCAAGTCTTCTTCAAGCCAGCATGATGTTCATTTAGTAAATTATGGTCCCATTTAGAGGAAAAAAGACAATAATGCAGCGTATGCTTTTGGGCGGCGCTACCTTGTGATTGAAAGGTCACTACCATTCCGACCTGTCAGTCAGGATCGAGGCAACTCGTGTCCGCTGCTCTGTGTAAATTTTTTGATGGCTGCCAACAGGAGAGAGAGCACGTCATGTTTGATGTTTATTTTTTATATTTTTAACTGTGATTACATTTTAGTTACATTTTTTTTATATCCAGGATATGTCCAGGTATTTATTAAAAGATTAAACATGTTAACAGTATAACATAGCTTATAAGTCTTTGGTTTTGTTGTAACACTGATAAATAACTTTTGGAGGGAGGGCATGTGAAAACTGTGTTTGGACCAGTAAGTTTCAAACTCACTGACCCGGTGGGCCAGTTGCAAAAAAGTTTGACTTTGAGCCCTGTTGTAAGCAGTTTACTAATGCAAGATTAAAAGGCACCGTAAAAACATCCTCAATGCAATCTTTTACAGTCTCAGGGATAAAATGATCTTAACATTAATTAAAGATTTTTAAAAAGCCTCCCCGTCAGTCAAATCTGCTGGCCACAAACTTGGGTCAACATCCTTTTTATGACTTCTGTCTTCTTCCACCATGTATCTGTCATCCTCATCATCACTGTAACTTTCTTTCCCTTCTTCCTTTGCTTCAACACTCATATATACAGTATATATTAAAATATGCCATATACCAATAAATGGAACTAACACTATAGAACATTGACCCAAATTACCTACAGTTTTGTATCACCACCACTTGATTACATACATTTTATACGGTAGATTTTTGTGTGTGTGTGCAAGCTACTTAAATAAATGCCCTTCGTGAATAATAAAGTCTGTATCTATAGATGTCATTTAACGAGCATAATTCAATCTAAATTAACGTATCAAACTGGATTATTTTAATATTGTCTGTAATTTACATACAGGCCGAGGTAAGCTACTCACTGTTTCCAACTGTCCAGCATCCAGTGCAGACAGTAGGTTTTTTTAATGTTATTTCATAATGGTCATTATGTGAGAATGTGTTTAAATTTCAGTCATTAATAAATGTCTTTTTCTTTTTTGTTATGATAAAAAGAGCAAGAGAGACAGAGAAATCCTCACAGACACCCTGGCATGATGCTAACCAGCATGTCATCAACACAGTGCTGTTCACCTTCTTCACTGGGACAGGGAGGCTACAGTTATGGGGAGACTGGGGTGCTGCTGACTCATCTGTTGTTAGTCTGCTAAAAGGGGCAGGGACAACAAATTAATATGTATATCTTAGCTAGCTAGCTTATTTCACTGTGGACATTAAGCCAACAGGTTAATATCACTCACAGACTTTAGGCTACCCACCTTCCTTGGTGAAAAAATGGGTTACAGATCGACATCCTGTCCTTTGTCTTTCCTCTCTCTCTTTTCTCTCTTTCCTTTTTTCTACTGCCTGCATCTAAACACCTTCACTGATGTGTGCGCTAAGGCAGGACCAAACCACTTCATGCAGATACAGGGGGTGGTCGTTCGATATGGAGGTTTACTTTTTGGTCAATTTGGATTTTAAGGAAAAACAAATAGATCATTCATTTTATCATTCATATATTTGCCTGCACACAGACTAGAATAAAAAGCATCAATATGAAAAATAGTCATTTCCACAATATCTGCACAAAACCAGAGGCTTTCTGTGGCATGCCCTCCCACAGGAGCACACTCCCAGTTTCTTGATCTTGTGGTAAATTTGGCAAAATTCTAACCCTCTGCAGGAACCACAGTGGAAGACACCGCAGCTATATATCATCACTGAGTATCAATGGCGCGGGAAGTGGGGGTGCTGAGGGTGCTGCAGCACCCCCTGCTTCTTCTCTGTGCTGGCAATAAAAAATAATCAAGAAAATATTTATACTGAAAATTTGGGGATTTGACAATGAGAAGAGAACACTTTTCAGATTTGATTATTTTTGATTTTTTAGGTAGGACTAATCAAATCAAAATAGTATCATACTCACCCTGTGGTAATTGGGAGTATGCACAAGGATGTAATTTCTGTTGCACACACACTCATGTAGCCACCTAGCCACTAATGAATTTAAGCATGTCACAGAAGAGAATTTCAGAGTTTTTCAAAAACCCTACCAAATCCAAACTTTCAAAGACAAGCGTGGATTCAGCTGCCACCAATTCTGGGTCCAACTCCACCAACAACAGGACCAGCGGCGGCGGCCCCATCAGTGTTGGTCCTCCTCCTGTCCAGCCTGCTAACGTTAGCCCTTCTTCGGCTAAACCCGCCTCCGCGGTCACAGTGTTGGCTGAAGAGGTTACAAGCTCCGTTGTCAGCCTAATGTTACCTGTCGAGCCTTTTCAGCCAAAGGATTTTAACTTTCCATCCAGCCGTTTTTGGACAGAAAGCTTCTCAAGATCATTCAATTCAGGTTGGTTTCAGCGGTGGAAATGGCTTCATTATGTGAAAGAGACAAATAAATGCTTCACATGTTGCTCTGCTGTTGCAAAGAAGCTGACGCCACATTTGTGAAGGGAGGCTTCTCAAATTGGCGAAAGGCTGTGGAAAAA